CTGATGTGCTCCCTGCCCAGCCCTGATGTGTGCCCTGTCCAGCCCTGTTGTGTTCTCTGCGCTCTGCTCCCCTTTGCTGCCCCAGTTCACCCGTGAAATGCTCCCGTCTCTATCCCGACCACACCACTCCCGCCTTACTCCCGGGCCGGAAACTCCAGAGCTGGTGGGGAAGGATTCTACTCAACTGGGGAGGGCTCAGCAGTGATGGGTCCAGGTGCGTTTTCCAGACAGCGTGCAGTACCGCCCCAACCAAGAGTCATGAGGCTGGGATTCATGGAGAAAATCTGAAATCTAGAGAAGGCGAGTGGAGGCGTGACAATGTTTAAAGAGGTGAAGGCTGCTACAAAGTTGTCCTCCAGTCCCACAGAGCAAGAGCTACTGGGCTTGGAGATAAGTGAACACAAGTTCAGGTCAGATGCTCGAGTAACATTTCTAATGCTCAAGGTTGGGTGGTTTGTTTTTATTTTTTTTTTGTTTTGGGTGGTAGTGGTGATCTGTTCCGTGACACGGACAGACATATGGCCATTCAAGAAACAGCCTGGTGCCTTTCCTGGCAATCTGTTCAGCGGTTGATTCAAATGTCACACCGGGACTCTATTTTCTACAAACCCAACATCATTGAAGACAATTACGCTACTCTGACTAATGTCACCATTACTCCTATAAGTTCCTAAGAAACCTTATGTAAAAATRCCTTGTCAAGAAGGAGAAAGAAAGAATAAAGCTAAAGGGATGGAAATGAAGGCAGGAGGAAGTGGGGGAAAGAAGAAAAGAGAGTAAGGGAGCGCAGACAGAAGTGCACTTAGCTTCCCTTCCTTGTTCCTAGCCCTGGAAATCCTGAAAATTCTTGGAAATGCCTATACCTAAGTATGGTGGCATGTGCATGAAAAGCTGTTCAACTCATCACACAAGAAACTTACTACAGATATACTGTGCTGGGGCTGTAACCGTCCAGCTTCAATATAAAAAAGAAGTGCATTTTAAGTAGAGTTGAAACACTGAAGAAATCCATGATCATCTACCATGCCCTYTCTTCACCACTGGCATTTGTCATGGATCTCAAAACAACTGTACATCAATAGTGACATTTAAAGAAGATATTCTGAGTATTAAATGGTAAGAAGTGGATTTACATGTCACACTAAGCCACTTAGGAGACACCAGTGCCCCCTCTTGCAATTGCTAATTAATGGAGTGTTSAATTACCACAGCTCTCTGTAAATACAGACCAGAACACAACTTCCAGTCACGCAGCCTCCTGCAGAGACATCACAGCTGTGAGAGGGATCCCTGGCACAGTCCTGGYGCAAGGACACCTTTAAGACCTCCTGCTGGCAGAGGTCCTTGCTTTTGATAAACTTTTTCCCATTTCAGCCCTCCGTCTCCACTTTCAGAAGCATTGTGCACCGCAGACCAAACTGAAACAGCATAGGCAGAATCTCCAGCCACACTGCTTCACGTCAGGAGAGAAATGCATCTTACTTTGGTCCTTGTAAAGGCATGTTCAGCCACCACAGCTCTTGCTGAGCCAGCAAAGGAAACACTGCCTGAAGTGTACGTGAAAGTACCAACACTGTTGACATAATCAGGGTGCTGCATGATGAGCTAAAATAAAATCAGGCCAGCATGGTTCACAGTATTCCCAAAAGCACAGGGCTTGTCAATCAGATCAGATCAGGTGAGGGCTTTCCTGCAGGCTAAGGCAGCACTCCCAAGCTCTGATCAAAAAAAATCAGTGAATCTTTGCAGCTGAAGTAGTAGGAAATTTGGGAACAGATCTGTAGTCTGTCAAGAGGCTCACACAGCTTGCACAAAACACCAGTGGTGGTGTAGCAGGAGGAGCTGCAGCCAAAAAAAACTCTGACCTGTCAGCTTCACTATCAGCTCGAACCAGCATATTACACTGCAAATATCTGGGGCTTGTGTGAGTATAAGCCTGACTCACACTGATAGTTGAGAAAATCTGAGGATAAAACCTATGATTGGCTGTGTAAGAGACACTACTGTAACTTGAAATTCAGACTGCTGAGCATAAGGATCTCTCACATGCTGCTTAGCCAACGTTCACAGCATTATACGTGCTACAGGACTACCCTATCTGCTGGATCTGGTGTATGGAAAGCTTGTGGCTGGGCAAAAATGCCTGGAAGAGGTGGGGTTATAGAGGTGGGATTAGAAGCAGACTCAGAAGCAAGCAGCTGTGGTCAGGGGGAGCAGCTGCATCTAAAAATGGCACTACTCAAGGGGCAGATGTCCTTGGATGCCAATAAAGCCATCGGGCACACTCCCCAATAGCGGCAATCAACTTGTTCTGATYTAGTACAGTGTCACAAATTTCTGGGGGCTGTTCACTCACTGGCTGGGGGGGGAAGAGAAAGGTATTTGGAATCAGTTTGCAGCACTAGATTAAAATGCCTGAAGTGACATTTTCTTTCTTTTATGTCAGACATTGGATGGTTTTTCCTCAAAATTTCCTTTCCTCAGACGGTCTGCATAGCTTATACCTTACTTGATTAGGTGCGTTTTGATCATTCACACATGAAACGCCTGCTCTGTCCTTTCATAGCAAGTTGAAACAGGAAGTAAATCTCCCAGCTGTCTCAACATGTCTGGACTTGATTTCTACATACCACATAATTCCAAAGCTCAGCCTAATCCTAAATTAACCCAGGATGTGAAGTAAGAAAAGATCAGAAAATATACTGTCATTTCTGTTCAAAAGAAACTCTATATAGAAAACAAATGTGTGCTCAGACTAAACGGGTGTTTTAGCCATGCTGTCATTGAACTATGACTTATCACAAACAGAACAGAGAAGCAGGAAATGGATAGAGACAATTCCAGGACACAATCGGTTGTTAAAGTCAATTCTTGACATATCTTTCTGAAAATACATGTTTTCTTGACCAGTAAAATATTTGTGTTAGCCTAGTAATTTGCAGTATCATCAAATGCCACTGGTGCTTAAACAGGTGGTATAACACAATTTTTCAGGTTTTGTGGGTGAAACATTTAACTCTTTTCCATCAGGAGAGATCCACTGCAAGAAGGAAAGCAAAGAACCAAACAGCAGTGTCAGCAGGGCTGCACATCGAGGAAGTCACGGATAACTTCAGAGATTACGTCATTTGGAGTGTGATTTCCCAGCGATTTCCGTCTTCATTAGACCCACGGCGTGTTTTCACAGGGACAGCTCGTGCTCTCCCTTACTCCTCACACCTGTACACATTCCAAAGGGCTCCCAAGGACAGCCCGCGTGTGCCAGCRCGCCGCCAGCAGCCACAGCCGGCACGGACACCTGGGGAGCGCTGCTGGCTCCGGGTCCAGAGCTTCAAGGTCGGTGCCAAGCTCGGGTAAGAACGGTCACAGCGGCTGCAGAGCTGCCTCACCGGTACAGGAAGAAGCAGCCTCAAAGACGTGGCTCAATTCCCTGCCAAATGGTCCCCTGCCCCCCAGGGAAGCTGAAGGCGCTTGGAAACTCGCTGACGGCACAGCCCCGCACGCTCCGCTCCGGAGCTGCTGCAGAAATGCCGATAACCCCGGCGGCCCCTCTGCCAGCACACATGCGAGCGGCCGCGGTGAGCCGGCGCGGACACGGGGCCCCGGGCCGGAGCKGAGCGCTCGCCGGCCGAGGAGCCGTGCGGGGCGAGCGCGAGGGAAGGCGGGGCCAGCGGGCTGGGAGTTGTAGTCCGGCTGACTCCCAATGTCTTGCAACCGGGAGCGGAGCCGAACTACAGCGCCCAGGGTGCCCCGCGGCGGCCCCGCCCCGCGCCGACTCGTGCAGCACGTTGTCCGGCTAACGCGCCCCGCGCCCGCTCCGCCCGTAGCGCCCCGGCCAGCGGCGGCTCCGCCGCTCCCATCGCCCAGCACGGCAGGTCAGCGGGGATGGGGGGCGGCCGCGCTGCCGCGTCTCGCCGGGCTGGGGGGCGGCGGGGCCGTGCTGGGGCCGACCCCCGGTGCGGCGGGTGCTTGCCAGAGGGAGCGGGTTGGGGGCGTTGCGGTTCTCCCGGTGCCCCGCGGGAAGGAAGGGGGCCACGAGCGGCGCGATCGTATCCCCTCGCCGCTGTCCTTGGCGCACRCCCGGCCGTGCCCCTCCAGGTGCCGGCCCGGAGGTGCCGCCGGGCAGCGCCCGCTTGGGCAGGGAAGCGGCCCCACTGGTTCCCGCTGCTGGGAGCGCTCCCCGGGCCTGGCGAGGGAGTTGCAGCCGGGGCTGGTCTGGCGCTGCCCCGCCGGTGACCCCGCGGGCGGCGGGGCCGAGGGGCCTCTCCGGGCGGGGGCGGACTCCCGCCGGGCGGGCGAGCTCCGCCTCGCAGCGGGCGGGCTGAGGCGTTCGGCCCCGCTCGCGGGGCGGAGGAGGCCGGGAGGGCGCTCCGTGAGGAGCCCGCGTGGCGCTGCCGGCCGGGGAGCTGCAGCTGGGCAGGAAACTCGTGGGGAAACGCCACTCTTGGGGCCGTTTGTACAAACCCGGGCCCGCGTGTCCTTCGCTCCTTCTTTACGGCTGTTCCCTGGTTGGGGGATTACGGACGTGGCAGAGCGCTCCAGGCTGTACCTGATCCAGGTGTTTGGTGATAAGAGCGTGGGTTCTGGTGGGGGGCTGCGGAAAAGCCGAAACTCATTGCTTTTCTTTTTTATTTTTTTAGTTCTCTGAACAGTTGTGCCTTTTTCTGAACTCACCTCTGAAAGTAGTTTAGATTAACCCAGGTCTCGAGCATAACTCGTGTCACAGGTACAGCCTGGGCTTTTCTCTTGAGGAAAATACATGTACTGATGCGGATGTCCATACAACAGAGGTGTTTATTTTTGCTAGTTTTCAGGAAGAAAGAGGGTGTTTTTCTTTGGTAAAACTTTGCAGAAAGTTGCAACTGACGGCTTGGAAAAGCGAGAGAACAGGATGAACTTTTACAAGTTGGATGGTATTCCGCAAACGTGGTRGTGACAATAGTAGTCTCAAGAAATATCCAGAGTGTCTGTCTCACTTCTCCATTTTGTAGATATGTGTGTCTCTGCAACTACTGTTCAGCTCATTAATGGAAGTATTCCTTCTTGGAATACTTGGAGTAAAGCAAAAAAAAAAAAAACAAAAAAAACCCAAAAAAACCCCAAACCAAACAGATTTCAGGGGGTTTCTGTACTGTATTTTAGTAGAGGATAGACCTTACACAGTAGGGGAAAAACACGTGTCCATTTGATTATCCTAAGAATTCATTAATTGAAAAATCTGGGTTGTGGCTGTGACACTGGTCTGTGCTGTGCTGTTGGTGGCAGTCAGTAGAGTTTCAAGATTCAGTAACTTGAGTTGCTTATTGTAAATTTCAGTCATCACAGTGTCTGGCACTGGCATCTTACCTGTAGGCTTGGATATTTTGTAGTTTGGTGCTAGAACGGTTGGATTGATTTTTCAGTGCATTCTTTCTTCCATATGTCAAATATGATGAAACACTGCTGCTGCTGCTGCCACAACTGTGAACGAGCCATGAACGAACCATGTGGCATTGGTGTCTTTTTATGGGAGAGTCATGTGAGTGCTTTTTTAAAAATAATACTTTTTGGAAAGCATCTTCTTTTTCCTTATTTGCTATTCGGGAAAAGTGAAGAAAGAGATTTGGGGCAGCCTTCAAAAATGTGGAAATGAGAGCAGGCCAAAGATAAGTGTGCTCCAGATTTAATGGGAGTGGTGTATAACTGTGTCTGAAGTGATATCACAGCTTTGCCAGCCAGTGCTAGTGAGAAAGAAGGATTCTGCAGCTCTGCTTGTCCTGTCWGGGAAAGTTCCCTCTGGTTAGCAGCACTGGTTGTCTCTCATAGATGATTTAGTACAAAATCTGACCAATATATTTTTTTGGTGATAGCTGTTACTAGATTAGAAACCTATTTGCAGATACCTAATGTGCACTGATTCTGAGGTCAGACCTTCAGTTACTGAAATTTTTTTCAAAGGACCATTCAAATTTCAGAKGCAATTAACATGTTAGTTAATACTGTGATTCTGTATTTGAACTTAAAACTTTTGCAGTGATTATTTTTCTTGCTTCCTAAAAAAGTATTCAGTGGAGCATAACTAACATAATTAATGTATATTATTATACATTATAAACAGTTTATACATTTGTATGAAAACATGGATGCRCTCGGTGGCAAGTTCTCTTCCTTTACACTTCTTTTTCTAATAATAATGCAAAAAGAAGTAGAGGAGCTGTTTTCTGCTCTTGCTTCTCTCCTTCCCCTGCCTTTAGTTAACCTGCTTTGCAGTTTTGATTGAAATCACTGAGGGATGTGGGGTCTTGGCATGTCTGCATGTGAGAGTTTAAGTGTCTGGATGATACTGCATATCAAACTACAGGGAAGACTACACTGGAGCTCCAGGAGTGTGTCTTGCAGTGGGTAAGTGCTTCAGGCTATCTGCAAATAGCCTTGTCTGTAGGGACAGTGCAAYGTATGTTTGAGAGGTCTGCCTATCTCAGAAGGGCTCAGCAAGAGTCTGCACCACAGCTAAACACCATGACTGCTAGTGAAATTGAAGAAAGTCTCCAATCACCTGCRTGCTGCGTCTGGAGATCCCGATCTTGCCTTGTTAGGATGCATATCTTGTGTGTTTCACAACTGGGAGCCGTCCTTCAGAAGGGCAGCAAGACAGCTATTAATGGGCAGCGCATAAAGAAGGCCTGCGTGTGAGGAACCGGTATCAGGAGTTGCTAAGCAGTTTTCTCATTTCTTAGAAAGGCGACAGAGAGTCATAGAAATAGAGAGGTGTTGTGGTTTTCTTTAATATACTGAATTTGTTAGATGCAGAGTCCGTTTCAGGTGAAATGAGTGGTGTAACAGCTGGATGGACTTGGAAACAGGACAGCTTTCCTGGTGAGTGTGTCGGTAGTACTGAGCAGTTAGTGTCATCATGGGGCTTCTGTGTCTGCAGGCTGGAATTTGCCATCCTGGAGCTTTGTCTCTGGGGTCTGTCTTGAAACCTGACCCTTTTCCTTCAGTTCCCTGCCAGAGTGGAGCTGCGTGTCTTTACCTGTTGCCAGCAGGGCCTGTGTTGTGTAACTGTTTTCAGCTTTGTGATCACCTAATGATTTTAAAAAAGAATAGATCAGCTTTTTCCCAGATATTGTTTGGACACTAGGATGGAAGGAACACGCAGAAAAACATTATTGATAAATAATGTGCCTGGCAGTTGGGCAAAATTATTTTGTCCTACAAAATCCCAATTTTGCCATCATAAAGATYGCATTTACAAGTGTTTATAGCAAAAGTTGGTGTGTTTGTTGGTACTCTTGAGACCCAGCTTCTGCATGTCTCAGTGGACAGCCACTGACAAGGCAGAATTTCACCCATCTCCTTTGCTTTCTGCTTGTAGGTAATGGTAGGTAACGGACAGTGGAGARCCTGCTTCTTGTGGAACTCCATAGAAATTACACATGCAGCCGCTGTGCTCTTTTCCTTTTGTTCTGCTTGGGTGTGTTTTGCAGATGGTTTTCCAAAATCAAAAGTACCACTTGGTTCATAGCTTTACATGGCCTGGACAGATGAGATGTATTGATATCCTACCCCAATCTGCTGGTTACAGGAAAGTCTAATAAAATTATTTTGGTTCTAGGGCTTCTCTGAATTAATGTAATTCACATTGGAATACTATAGGAAAGTGATTTGGATAGATGTGTACTTTCTAAAATGTATCAGTTTCTGAATGCCTGTCCTGACTTGAACCACATCACTGTGGTCTTTCTGTCCCATGTTTCTAAATTTAGCAATGTCTTTACAACCTCTGAAAAGAGTAAGGATTTGGGCTAATGTCTGTTCTCAATTCTGCAATTAGCATCCTGATTCACCTCATACTTATTCATTTCATCAAGTAGCTCTGGTCAGTGTAATAGCAATAACTTGTAAAACCACAGAGCATCGGAGAATGCTTTCTCATCTTTCATTGATTAACATTTAACATGTTTTCAGTGCATTCAGTGTCCCAGGTGACATATTSTCATGTTCCAACATCTCCTTTCAAGCAAAATGAATGTAGTTGTCTTTGACTTTATTGTTTTGGCTGCCAAAGCATGCAAATGGATGTTGACTTTAGTGTGCCTGAGTTTAGGCTGCATATGTCTGCACAGTTCATTTCACAAGAGCATCTCATTGATGCTCAGAGGGCAAAAATATGTATTTTGAAATTTGTGAACTTCTGAGTCATGGGAAACCAGAGCCATGCTCTACAACCATCTGTGATTACAGAACCAGTTGYTCAGTTAAGTTTCAAAGGCGTGGGTTGTGTCAAGGAGATAACATGCAATATGTGGTGTAGGTCACCTTGGTGATAATTTTGAAATAAATTCCGATTTCTGAATTTGTRGCTGTTACATTAATTGGGAGACAGGTTTCGGCTGATGCATCCTTCTGAGTATGAGCAGTCTATCAACAGCGAAGGCACCATTTGGAGCTGATAATTGTTTGCAAACATTTGTAGGAGTTCTGTGTAAGTATGGAAAAAGCTTCATCAATCCTAAACACCCTGCTTACGTTKCAGAGTATGGTGCTGAGACCTCAGTGGCTATCTGTTATTTTGGTTTTGCCTTAGTAGGTTAAATGTTAAGCATGGAAGGTGCTTCGTTAGGTATTCAAAACAGCGMGTAAAGAGTGCAATGGTTTGTCAGTGGAGAAAAGTTGGGTCTGTGTCTTCTGAAGTACTGATATGCCTCTTCTGTTTACATAAAATAAGGGATCCTGTTAATCAGGATGCAGGCCATAATATGAATGTACAGTGTACAGGCTATACTGGCTAAATCGAATATCCATTGCTAGTGAAACTGCTGGTTGAGGATGAAAGGAAAACAGCCCACTTAATGCACTTAATAGATGCAAGTAAACTTTTATTGTTTCATCTCATGCCAAGCTGATGCAAGCTGTGTTCTGGCCAGGGATACTGGTGTTAGAGGACTGATACRTGAATCTGTGACAGTCTTTTGTGTGTGTTTGTAGCTTATGTCCTGCACAGGTCAGTTTTGACTTAGGTGTGGCAGGACGTGTGTGAGGTGTGCTGTATTCTCACTGGAGGACTCCCACTTTGTTGTTTGGTAGTTTGCTCCCAAATTTGGTCCTTAGCCTACCTCTTGTCTTTCCTGCAGCAACTTTAGAGAAACAGGCCTGAGTGTTGTTGCCTTGTTACTATGAGGAAGTGCTGTCCTGTGGGGTGTGTGGGGATCCCAGAAGAACCTATGATTAAAAATAAAGGAAAATTCAGATTGGAAAATTGAAATGCTTTGAGAGTTCCAGCAGCCTTCTAACTAGCTGTTTAGCTACCAGAGGTCAGACCTGTAGATGTATTTAAACGTTCATATACTGCAGTTTCTTATTTGTAAAACAGGGAAGTACATACAATCCTATTTCAGAGGCTACAGAATTAAGACTTTGAGTACTAAGAGATGTGTGTACCTTCTGCAATGTTAGTGAATATTGTAGCTATCAAAAGCATTAATAGATGCATTTAGATTTGTTTGTTGAGGGGATAAAACAGAAATTTTTGCCTGTTCCTTTTAATAAAAGGTGGAACAARTTGCGGTAGTTTGGTAATTCCTTTCCTCATTTCTTTACTAACTATTCTGGTGTGTGTGCAGCACATAGAAAATACAGAGCAATTACAGGACTACACAGAACTTTTGTTTCCCTCTTGCAGTATCAACATGTTGAGGAAAGCAAGTGCTGCTTCTGAGTTTCTGTATAGCTCAGAGGAGGAAAATATTCAATAAAAATCTTCTTAAAAAGTAGCTGACTAGGTTGTTTTATAAGTAGAAGCATGAGAGATTTTTTGAGAGTTTTTTTATTGGTTCAGTTGAATCACTGTCTGAAGAAAGCAAATTTAGACAAGACAGTAAAGGAGCAAGTTCAGTTCTACTGTAGGAGGATAGCATAAGGAATTGTCTGTCCACCCCTGTGTGGTGCTTGAATYTTCCCAATGAAATTAAATGGGAAAGGGTGTTTTGTTCTTTAMCTTGCCTTGCTAGAAGTCCTGATTTGTGAGTGCATGTACCTCTTGCGTTCTTGAGACTGCAAGGTAAGAGAGTTTCAGATGCCTAGATATGAAGCTAGAACCGAAACACTTTGGTCAGCTAAGACTATCAAGTATGAAAAATGAGCCGGTAGTTCRTGAGAAGATTTCATGCAAAGAGGAAGCTCTGCTGAAGCTGGTTTATATTAGGAAAGCTGAAGGGGTGATGTGAAACAGCATGGCAGGGAGGCCTTTCTCATTCTTCTTTGTCAGCCTCTGTGCAGGATAAGCATTGCTTGAAGATATTGAACTTTCCTGTGTGTTCCTTTCTGAATTTGCTATTTTGGGAGAAAGAGAATAATGTCCATGTGCACGGCAGTGCTTTTGGCAGTAGCAAGGCTGTTCTGTGTGTGCTGTCAGGACAAGACAACCTTGACAGGAAATAGGTGCCTATCAGTGGAGATGAGTCATGTGTAAATTCTAGGCTTGCAGTTTATTCGGTGGTCTCAAAAATTCCTGTTTGGCTGCCTAGTTATCTTAAGAGTTGGGAAAAGGGCTTCATTTGTTCACACATACATACATGAACAATAATTTTTAATGGCCCAGTGAATGGCAAGCCCCCTCAGACTAACAAAGATGCAATGAGCACAAGAATTCCACTTGCTAGGAATAAAGGTGTTTGAGTTGGGGATTCAGTCATCAAGGAGTCCTTTCAAGAGAACTTCAGATGCAAAGCCTAGTGTTGCTGGATTACAAGGAGCAAGATCAGACTCCTCTTTGTTTCCTCTAGCTCCAGGAATTTTCTTGGTGGCACTCACAATAGGAGAATGAATCCCCAGTTGAGACAGTCWCCTGGCAGATAAGAGAACAGAAATACTCTTAATCTCTGATCTTTATGCATGCATAGAAGCTGCATCTCCCAGTTCATCTGAAAAAAGTGCATTGTCATGTCTGAGATTTTCAGTATGTGATATATCTCACAAGGGTCTCTTACAGGCCTTTGAGGTAGCTGGAGGAGGGAAATTTGATTGGTTTCACATGTTCATGCCAAACCCCATAGTAAGTAGAACTTGAGGTTATGAGATATTGTAGTATACATATTAYGGAATACCGTAAATAATTGTCTGAACAGGTTTTCTTGCCTGTAGCTTTTCAATTTAGGATTGAATTTCCTTCYGTTTCCCTGGCAAGTTCTGCTGACCATCTCTTTTTCACATGCGCCTCCTGTAATCTTCAGAGATCTTTTTTTCTTGGAGGAGCGGTGCTGTGCATTGCACCTCTAAATGCCTGTGAGACTCTTCTGTCTTTGCCTAGATTGTTTAAAATTCACCTACGGATGAACAAGCACAAACAAGATGCCTTGCTAACTGGTGTTATTTCTTGTCAGGAAAGTAAATGTTAAAAAAAAACAACAAAAGTATGTGTTGAAAAGCTCATAGAGACATTTGGAAATGTGTGGATCTGAATTGTTCAGATATCTTGCCAGGATTTAATCTGAAATAGCCCTTTTTGTTGCTATTGGACATGGTGGGAGGAAGTATCCACAGATATGTGTGCTTCAGTTGGTTATCTGTGAACAGCAAGGTGCATTCAGAGGCTTCAAGGTTATATTGCAAATTGTATAGCACACAGACATCTTCTGTGAATATGTAGATGTACAAGGGTAGTGTCTTTCATGTGAATGAGCTAGGTCAGCCTGGAGTCCAAGGTATTTGACTAAATCCCAAAATGGATTTTTGCCAGCACTGCTGAGAAGGATGCTGCTAGCTGAGTAGCCAGSCTTATTTGTACTCTGGTGGATCCAGAAACAGGTCTTCCGCATGGAAAATTTCACCCCCAGTGTAACTTGCGCAGACTTGAGCACCTGAAAACAAGATCATAGAATTCTGGGGTTGGAAGGGATCTTAAAGTTCATGTAGTTCCAACCTCCCTCCAGTGGATAGGAACACYTATCACTAGACCAGGTTGCTCAGAGCTCGATCCAGCCTCACCTTTAACTCTCACAGGAGTAGAGCATCTGCAGCCTCTTTGGGCAACCTATTCCAGTGCCTCACCACCCTCACAGTAATTTTTTTTTTTCCTAGGATCTAATCTAAATATACTCAGGATCTAATCTAAATATACTCTCTTTCAGTTTGAAGACATTCCCCTTTTTTCTGTTAATACAGCTCTCCGTGTTTTTTRTAGGCTCCCTTCAGGTACTGGAAGGTTGCAGTTAGGTTACCCTGAAGCCTTCTCTTTTCCAGGCTGAACATCTCCAATTCTCTCAGCCTTTCCTTGTAGGAGAGGTGCTCTAGCCATCTAACCATCGTGCTGGGCCTCCTCTGGATTTAGTCCAATAGATCCATGTCTTTCCTGTGCTAGGGAGCCCAGAGTTGGATGCAGCACTGCAGGTGGGAGAATCACTTCCCTCGCCCTGCTGTCCATGCTGCTTTTGATGCAGCCCAGGAYGCAGTTGGCCTTATGTGCTGCAAGCACAGACTGCTTTCTCATGTTCAGTTTCTCATCCCCCAGCACCCCCAAAGTCCTTCTCAGCAGAGCTGTTCTCAGTCCCTTTGTCCCCCAGCCTGTTTTGATAATGGGGCTTGCCCTGACCCAGGTGTAGCACTTTGTGCTTGTTAAATCTCGTGAGATTCCCATGGGCCCTCTTCTCAAGCTTGTCCTAGGAGAAAATGGTGGCAGACTTGGCTGTCATTCTGGCTGCTCACTGTCTCATCTGGCCRTCAAAGTATTGTTCCATGGGTTCCCTGTGGAGGCTGGAACTGGAAACCACAGTGAAACTGTGAACTGGAAGCAAACAGCTTGTTTTCTCCAAAGGTACAGGTCAGTTAAAAACCAGTGCTAGTTAGCATGAGTAAAAATTGAAGATCTTTCTCCCCCCACCAGTATTAGACATATAATTTTGTTAGAATGGGATGAGGTTTTCTAAAATGTCACTTGTTGGGAAAAAATACCACGTAGTTCTTCTATATAAAAGTTCTTTTTTTAAACCTTAACTTGCAGATCATTATTTTGAAGAGCATTCTGTAGATAAGAGACATGTTTTCAGATGCCAGCAGGCCTTAATCAAGCTGAGAACTTGAGGCTGTGTTTAGGGCCAGCTGATTCACTGGCAGGAAAGTATTGTGCTGTTTTTGCACTCAAGCCAATTGAGAACCAGAGCTAAGCTTCAGAGTATTGGTACACTCTGAATGATGTTGTAGTTGGACAGGTATTTTCTCAGAGGGCAACTGGTTTCAGCATCTCCGCTTCATGCTGTTCCTCCAGTTTTGCTGCTGCAGTTCTTCCTGCAGCTGTTTGATGATCTGAGCTAAAAATGTCTGGGGTGGGGGAAAGGTGATTTTTTTTAACCTGAGTCTGCTTTCCAGTCTTTACTGCCTAAGTCAACAAATAATGAAACCAGTCTCTCAGAGATGGGACAGGATAAAAAGAACCACTGGGTTCATTTAAGCCCACAAAACTGACTGTCTGGGGTGAGGTGCCCTTGGGCTGTGTGTCCCRTTGCAGGTCTCAAGGCAGGGTTTTCCTTCTGTTGTGCTCCTTTAGATCGGTCCATACCACATGAGAATTGTGGAAATACTGAAGCAGAACAACAGTTCAGCTTCACCTGYCATTTCAGCTTAATCTGTCATCCAGGTTTCCACGACTTGACTCCTTGGAAGGCAGGAAGGCATGGCCCTGCTTTTAAAATTATATTGTACCTTGTAGCAAAACCACTGGAGTGCTTACGTTGCCTGTGCAGACTTCTTGCATGTTTTTGAATGGTTTGTTTTACTGAACCTCTTGGACTTTGTGCAATGTGTATTTTTTGTTTTAATGAAGTATTTGCCTCGCAGCTCAGGAGCTGTGTCTGTAGCTGTTGCCTGCTTCAGACATGGGACTCTGTTGGGTTTCACAGGAATTTTCCTCCAGAGACCATGCAGAAGCCAGGATCTTGGACACTCCACTTTTTTCTTGCCCAGCCTGCAGCTGTGATTTGTGGTTTGCCAGCTGACCATGAGCAGTAGACAGTGTGAAAGCACAAATTGCTGAGATCCCTTTGCTGCTTGAAGGGAGATGTGCCAGCAGACACTGCTGCTCAGGCAAATGCCCTTGTAAAGAATTTTTTTAAGCAAAGCTAGAAAGCAAAGTGGCTTTCTAGAAACCAGGATGCAGAGCATTAGTCTAACTACAGGAGACTATTGTAATTGGAGAAGGCTTGCCGTCATGTTTGTGCACTGAAATRTGCTGTCACCCAGATGCCAGTGAGCTTTTCTCCAGCCTTACCTGACCACAGGGCAGGAGCCAAATTTGTCTTTCTGCTCCTTAGAGCAGGAGTGCAAATGTGTTCTATGAATAAGTTGTTCAGGATTGCTCTCTGTATTTAATAAAATAGATCACTGTTCACACATACTGTGAAATAGCTCAAAGGGAGGTAGCCCAAAAGGCTGTAGTAAAGAAGCAGCACTTTCTTTGAGTGCTTCAGTTTTAGTGGGCTAGCAGTGAGAATAAGCAGAATGAGTGCTAGTCATGCGTTCAGTGTCTTGTGTAAATCGCCTCAGAGTACCACCCAGGTACGGTTGTAAAATCTGCCAGCTTCAGGGAGAACCTCASACTTTTAAGATTGCTTCTTTCATCCATACTGTTAAACTAAGAAATGGAAACCATTCACTAAGGGTTTGGAAACCTAATTTCATGGTTTTTTTCACACAGATACTAGCTGACTGATCTTCTAACCCTGGCATATTTGTAAATATAYGTGATCACATGATGCAGTTAAAATRAAGTGTAACTATAGGTGAATATCAAGATTGTGACTGCTCTCTATTCTGTGCAGCAGTGAAGTAATAGTGGTATTTCCTAAAATTTGCATAAAAACTGTCTTGATGTAGTTTATTTGRACAAGACAGAACTACTGATCTACTTGAGCAAGGTTTTTGTTACTGCAGATACTGTGCTCTAGTTTAGAGCCCTCAAGAACCATACTGAAATAGGCTAGTTACACTCTGCTKGAGTAGTTGCTATTGATTCGTTGTTATTTTAACAGCAGTACAGTTGAAGAGGTGACATTTGTTCCTCTTCAGTTTGCTGCTTTTATTGCTTCAACCTTTATGAGAGACTATATAGATACATCTGCTTTTTTACCCCCTTACAGTTCTTGAGCAGTTATTCTGAGTTATGCCATTAATTTTTAATTCTCTCTCATTTCTCTTTACTTCTTGCAGTTCTTGTGTGGTTGGTGAAAATAAGCCTACACTGCAGGAATGCAAGAGGAGCAACAGCCTGAGGTAGGGCTTGGAGATGAAGTGTGTATCCCAGTACAGTTGCAGGGAAGGTCAAGGCTGAATCAGCCAGGTTCTTCTGCTCATTCCCATGGAAGTTCTGCAGATTCTTAGGATTGAGAATGCCAGTGTGAGACCCCTTTTAAAAAGGGGGGAGGGTGTGTTGAATGGTATCTTTTTGGACACTTCCAGGTTCGTTTCAGAATCCCTTTCCCTGCAGATGCAAAAGCTAAAATGGGCCTTGTGTATTAATCTACTTGCAAGAGTGGAATTGCATAAAATAGCCTAACTTCTGAGATTAAACCCTTAGGAGGAAAAGAATTTTTGTAACTTTTATGGAAAATTATAGAAATTAATTATATATGAATTATAGCATTGTACATTGCTTAAATTTCTTGCCAAGTTAAACTGAGATGCTTTTTCYGCCCTTTCTGTTCCTTTTCTTCTTATTTCATATCCATATGCCTCAAAACCTTTTTCTGGTATAATAAATGAAACTCAGGAAATTCTTATTTAATGAAGTATATCAGTTCTTTTGTCCTGTTAATTAATTAAAAAAAAGAAGACTCCTAATGTGGTGGCTTAGTGCTGTTCTCATTGCAGCATTGTGATGTTGTGATGACAAAGCCAGCATAAGTGACAGGATTAATTCCATATGTTACAGATGGATACATTTTTCCAAAATATTTTTGTGACTAGACTTAACGTATGCAAGCGGTGGAGTCAAGCCATATGCTGTGATCAAAAGCTGAGCTGGTGTTAAATTGCATTTGTGAATGTAATTGCAATTTGCAGTGTAATTGCAGTTTGCAGTTGTCAAGGAACAGACTTCTACTTTGTAGTGAAAGGATGATGTGTTGCTGTGAGTATTTTAAACTTTGCACTGTAAAACTGTTGTACTTTTTGAGTTTACTCCATGAAATGTATAATTAATTWTTCTTTGCCTTCTGTGGGGCTATGGTAAGACACTCAGGATTTATATTCTGAAAATTCCTGTTTGGCGTAATAGAATGCAAGAAGAAAATAATTACTGTTGTTGAAAGCTGTTAAGAGTTGGATGTGCTTTGTTCAGTCTTGCTTAACACTTTACCAGGTTAAGGACAAAGTAAATAAACCAGTCATTTTAGATAAAAAGCTGACATCCTTCAGGAGAGTTTGGCTGCCTCCCTGCTGACTTATTAATATTGCCTTTCATTTGAAAAGTACTGAAATGATGATGGGTTTTCATCCTGTCTCTAATTTTTTGACTTAATGTTGTTCAGAAATTCCAAATTCTTCCAATGATCATCCTTATTAAATTTTGAATTAATGTAGTTGTCTAAAGGTGGTTTAAAATTTAGCTTTCTCCTATTCCTGAGTCTCTTCTGCGCTAACTCTGTCTCTSTGGTTTTAATGACATTGGCTGAATGACTGGAATTGCTTGAATTTTATGCACGGGTTTTAAAACTTGCCTGTTAATTAAAAATAAGAAAGGTTTTTGTTGGCCAAAGAGCTGCATCATATACTTCTAGTGATAATATCTAAGAGTCAGTCTTCAGGAATTTTTTCAATTAGCTTCTGTTCCTTTAGAGAGCAAAACTCCGCAGATGCATTGTATCTTTTGGATTTTGATTTCTGAAATATATAAAGTCATCATTCATGTGAACTTTCTAAGATTTTGTATCCATATTGTGTAATTGCTTTACACTTATTCCAAAAAAATACTTGGCCTGAGTCTTCTGGAATGGATATGTTTAGTCTTGTGAATACTGATTAACTTTGTCAGACTTCCTGACAGACTAATGCTGACTGGTAGTTGAGTCAAATAGTATTAAAATAATCAGAGCACATTATAGTTTTCAATACAGAACGTGCTATAGTATATTAGAGATAAATTTGTTCTTTTTRTCTGGAATCCTATATATTTAAAAACTCCATGTCAGGTATAAATACTATCTTTTAAAATARGCATGAAATAGTGAGTTTTTAATACATTCTTTCTCATACTCAGGCATCTAGGAAAAGATAATTGTAAAACCACAGATGTTTTGAATTGTGACACTGCTTAAATTATTTACTTGCTTGAATATTTTATGTAGGTTCAAATTGAGTAAACTCACAAAGAGAAAGATGTATTAAAACGTTTCATTATAATTCCCAGCTCCTTTTGAATTTTTTTTCATACAGGCTGCTGCAGATCCAATGTCGTCCTCTGACGCACCAGAAGATGGCCCAAAGGAAACCTCAAGTGTATCGCAGAATTTCTGTATGTTTCTGGTGTGACTGGGGAGGGTGTATCACATTGGAAGGGTAGTTAAGTAAATGTCTTTGCCTTTTCCTYACCTAAAAAGGACAGACCTGTTAGCACAAAAGGGAGATGCTAATAAAGTCATAGCTGGCTTAATCTGTTCTTGATTTATTGTAAGGCCCAGTTGTGTAAATCAAATTTCAAAAGAGCAATGACATGTCAACTGTCAGTTTGCTGATCTCATACTTTCAAAAGTAAATATTTTTWGATTTAATAGATATTCAGCTATTGTCTTAAGCTCAGTCATTGCTTTCTGAGCCAGTGATGTGTACGTGTTTGTTGGGTTTGACAGTCTGGCATCTAGTGATATGATGTTGATCAGTTATCCTAAGGGGACTGCTTTGCCCRTACCAACATGATAATGTGTTGATACAAAGGCAAGCCTTCAGATGTGGCAATAGAACTATTCCAACCAAAACTGTCTTGTGAAGCCTAGGAAGAGTATCTTTTCTTACCTGTTATTGGTGAGGATCAGATAGTAACAGGCATTTCTTTCTCAAGAGGAGAAAACAAAGGCTTAGGATTTGCTTTATGTATATTTATACACTGTTGTGATATTAATGTATACAGTGCTAATTTGTAACAATAAGAACATTCAGATTGTGCTTTCTGGCAAATAATAGGCTCTAAACCACCTTAGGGCAAGTCAGCGTGTAATAGCAACATTGCTGAAATTGCTGAATAATTCCTAGGGATCTCAACTTTCATGGGAACAAACAGAGCCGTGACTAAAGCTATTGGAAGTGTATGCAGACCTAAAGAAGCAGATTAATTTTTTATATTTCTTTTTTTCTCCAGATATAGAAGTTAGTTCAATAAAAAGCATAGCTGCTCCTGAGAATGTTTTCCTTAATAGTGTCCTTAAATTATAACATCTGGTACTGCACCATTATAGTATTTTTTCTTTACGTGAAACATTGTTCAGTCCGGTACTGAGTATATGTGTGAGGTGAAAGTTTGAAAAATAAATAGAAATTATACCCTTTAAAGGTTATCAAATACATGGAAACCACTTCCAGGTGGGGGAGTCTGAACCATAAATGGCTTTAAGCTAGGAGAGCATTTGGGACAGGTATTACACACACTTCCCCATGAATTATATTCTCCCTTAGACAGGCACTTTTGACCATAGTGGAAGGCAGGATATTTGCTTTGGTGGGTTTTTGTTCATCTATTATGGCTTTTATGGCTGCTTTTATAATTATGTGACTGAGAGTGCTACAAATGCAACAGCCTTACCTTTTCTTCCTTTTTCAGTCATATTTTCTTTACCTKCTCCTTAGTATCACCATCTGTCTTGGATGCAACATTGCCTTTGCTTAGACAGTACTGATTGCAACACACCATGTTCTTGGGTATTGACCATGAAGTAGTAGGTTGCTCAGATTCTAAGAAGGATGTTGAAAGATTGCTTTTGTTTTTTTTGTTTGGGTTTTCTTGTTTGGTTGGTTGATTTTCTTTTCATTTGGTGGGGATTTTGTTTGTTTGGTTTTTGTTTGGGTTTTGTTGGTTTTTTTTGGTTTTGGTTTTTTTTTTTACATAAAGTCTTATGAGATAAGTATTTGTGGGACAGAACTGGGGCCAGAGCCACACAGTTAAATCAGATTCATAAAATGAATGTGTGGTAGGAGCCTGTAATTTATCTGCATCTTTGACATCCTGCCTACAGACTGTTCACTAATCTTTTTTTTTTTTTTTTTCCCTGGACTTATGATCCTATTCCAGGCTTCTGGAGACCACTTGAGACTTCTGCTAACTTGTGCAGCAGCTTGCCAGAGAAAGAGAGTTGGTTGGAAACAAAACTCTGCTTTCCTGCTTGATACATTTTTTTCTAAGATACTTTATAGCTTAAAGATGAGTCATTCAAATTGAGTTGTATTTCCCATTGAGATAGTGTTAAAGCTTCTCTGTCTCAGACAATGAGCCTATCTGGCATTTAACGAGCAACTGTGATGGAGCTGGTAGATCCTCCTATTTTCCATATCACAAGCTTGACRCAGAGGGCTAAACTCAGATTGTACCATTTTGATCATAAATAGTTGTTGAATCTAGGGAAGAATGATTGGATTTCTGACTTAAATACCTCTTGAGGTTTAATATTCCGTTGTGTACTGGTCCCTGGTGTGTTAATCACAGAAAAGGCTAAGGCTGGTAGTGTAGGTATCCTATGTGCCAATATGTCCAGGTGACTTTGCTGTCACATTCACACCAGTGTACATGTACTGCTGTCATTTATATAGATAAGAATCCCAAAATGGAACACTTTGAGTTTAGAATTTTAAAAATGCTCTATTTTTTTTCTTTTTTTTTCCTCTAATGTAGTGTATACCTTTTCTAAGTATTCTTTGCTTCTCTGTCCACCTCACCTGCCACACAGCTTCTCTCTTTCCCTTACTGAACTGCGTGGACAACCTGTCCCAGTGTCCACAGGGTAGGAAACCTGGACTGAGACCCATGCTTGGAGGCAGCCTCTCCAGTGATGGCACTCTCAATGATGTAGCTTCAGAATTGAATGTAAGATTACAGTGGTAAATCAATGGACTTTTAGCTCTGCTCTGCTGTTTAGTGGCGACATTTTTATTTTCTGTTTTACTTACCTGCACGTTATATGATGTGTGCTTTTCTTTTCTATTTCWTTACATTTATAGCTGATGCTGATGCATTTAAAATTCTTCTGGAGATGAAACTGAAGAAGAGGCAGAAAAGGCCTGCTTTACCAAGCACTGTGACTGAGCTTGACACTGAGGATGGTTCTAAAGTCTATGTGGTTGGAACAGCCCACTTCAGTGACAGCAGCAAAAAGGATGTAGTAAAGGTAAATACKCAGTGTGAGCCCCTCAGCACATCTTTATAATGTCAAATTAGTACTAAGTAGAATGAAATCCAGCTCTCAGACTTGGTTCCATGCTGTAACCTTCAGGTTCTTTTTTTCTGGTTGCTGTTGGATGGCTAACAGCACTATGGGGTGGGAGGCAGACATGTTACAGTAATGATTTTTGATGCAATACATTGCTATCCCAGCTCAAATATTTGCCCTTAAATAAAAAAGTCAGATACAGTGCCGGTGTTGAAATGAGAAACCTCACTAGTGAAGCTTACATTGCCTGTGTATTTGGCTGTAAATCSGTGCCACCTAAAATTTGGATTCCATTCTCAAGCTGCAAATGGGCCTGAGGCCCTAGTGCAAATGGAGACTATTTCATATTGTACCTTCTGCAAACTCTGCAATTTAGAGTGACTTAATTGTCCAGGAGCTAGAGGGATGTAAATCTTGTAAGAACAAGGATTGATAATTCTGGTACGAAGTGTATTCTGACTCAGATTGCAAATTATCACAGAGTTCGGTCAAATTAATTTTGTGAGTGTGAAAAGTTTAATATGAAGTGCTATTCCCTGCTCCCCTCTCCCGCACAATGTGTTCACCATTATCCTGTCCCAAATCATCCAGTTACTAAGGCATTTTTCTGTCACCTTCCTTAATATTTTTCTCAATTCATAGATTATTTGGAGAAGTCTTGTTTTCTGTTTTGCTGGGTTTTTTAATTGAGAATGATTGTTGAAATGTGCTTTTTAAGTCCCTTTTCTCTTTAAAGTCTTGATATTAGCTGCATTTCTGCTTATTCCTTTCTAAAGCAGTATAAATAATTTCGTCTTTTTCAGACAATACAAGAAGTGCAGCCTGATGTAGTTGTGGTGGAATTATGCCAGTACAGAGTTTCTATGTTAAAGATGGATGAAAAGACATTACTAAAAGAAGCCAAAGAAATAAATYTGGAAAAACTTCAACAAGCTATAAAGCAGGTATGATTTTTACAGTGAGAATTTAAGCTTTATGTTAAGAGCAATTTGTCAAATTGCAGTCAAAATCAGTGTTCCCACCAGCTGGGAGTCCAGGTTAGGTTCCACACCTAATATTGTTGACCTAGGTGAGAATGCTATTTCAGTGGCAAAGCTAAGTTTGGGTTATTTTTTTTTTTCTTTGTTTTCAGATGGAGCATTGAGGACTTTCTTTTTACTGTGGGATTGTTTAGGCAAATTGACCTTCGCAGGAATCCTCCGTGCATTTAACAGCTGCTCCATTTGCAGGACAGAAGTTTAGCTTTGCAATTGTAATGCTCTGGTGATATATTTAAATGTAGTTATTATTCCTGCAATCTGCATCTGTATTAGGACTATTTAAGGAGCACTTAGTTTTGGTATTTTCTGTTTAGGATGCAGGAGGAATGTAACTAGTGTGTTGCTCTTTAATTCCTACCTGCTAGTCTTTTGAGTAATTCCTAACTGACAATAGGCCCTGAGGGGGAGTGTTGAAAAATCTGGACTGAAAAGTATGGGATTCTATTGAAATTATAACTACGCTGGCGGTGTGGTGTGGACATGTCTGGGATGTGTGTGCAAAAAAAAWGTCCTGTATTTTTTCAGTTTCACCTAGTTAGCTTGTATTTAAATAATTTTAAGGTAGGCACAGTGAAACAACGCAGGATTGACTTAAAAATGACAGGATGTATGATTAGAATGGCAGTGTGTGGTCAGTAGTAAAAAGAATTTCGGTTGTATGGTAATTGTATATTGGAATTGCTTTATTGATGTAATTGGGGGATTTCCAGGACTGCTCCCCCCATAGGAATATAATCTGCATCCATGGAGAARCACTTTCAGTGGCTGGGGACTATCCAGTGTGTGTGCTTTCAGAGAGGCTTTCTGACTCGCAGAGTTAGGCAATAATGTGTCTTTCCTGTTTTCTTTATTTATGCCCTATTGAAGGAAAAGACATTGCAAAACACTTGCATATTGCATGCRTTGCTGCATCTAGCTGTTTATTTTAGGTAAAGTGGATTATTCTGATGCATGTAGYCAAAATGCATGTTCACCATAACTGGAGCAGAATAGCCAGGGGTCTTCTGACCTTGTGAACAGGCACAAAAACTTTTTTTTTTAATACCAAAGCTAAATGGAACAGTTTTTGCTGTGTTGAGTGGAAATAGACAATGAAAAAATAGCAGACTTTTTTTTTCTCTGATGTAAATTAATGTTGGCAGCTTTGCAATTACCACTTCTTACCAGGGCTTGAAGTGATCTTGTGTGCAGACAGTAGGAAGCACAGGCTCTGAAGCCACAGAACAATATAAGGATCCTTCCTATTGTTACAGTTCAGTATTAGTCTCCTTTGCCAACAGAAGTAATGCAAATAATAAAATTTGAACATTGGGCCTTTTAAAGAATGTGTTTCTGTGTCTACGGTCTCAACCGAAAAAACGCCCAACTTTTCCCCTTCAAATCACTAACAGCATGGATTATATAGGGAAAACCAGGAAGAACAGTCCAACTAACTCATGCCAAATTATAGTGTCTTTGTTTTCCTCTAATAGAAATCAGACCAGTTGGTAAGTTGCCCAGCTATGCCTTAGTTTCCTCCTCTCATTGTAATGTATCTTCAGGCCCAAAAGTTGCATTGGGCCTTCAACTTGCATCCTTGAGTTTGGAAATGAGGAAAAAATGCCCAAATGGCATCTCTTTACAATCACCTCCAGTTTTATTGCTTAATATTTATGTATTTCATTGCTCTTAATTGAAGCTGGAAACTGAACAGAATGTTAACAGGAAATATACATATTTGCAATGGGTCACTGGCATCCACAGCTTATCAAGCAATTGCTGCAGGTTAAAACCAGACTTTCTTTACCTCCTCCTTGAATTTCAAAACCCTTAGTGTTGTTTGCAGAGAAGTATCTGCTTGTTTTCCATTAAGCAAAGTAAAACAGTGYGGACTGGTATCTGGCTCAAATGTGGATAACCTGGAGATGTGCAGTAACARTTGGCTTAAACCCAACTGGTAAGAGAGGTTTTCTCTCAATCTTCTCCCCAGCTCCCTGGTTCCACTACTCATTCTGTATCCGTGCTGTGGCCCTGTGTTTGAGCAGGGCTTGGGTTTTTGCTGCATCATCTCCCTGTGAYTGTAAGATTGCTAGTCCTGGCAAAGAGGGGTAGTTGAGAAACTTTGCTCTGGGGCAGAAGAGAATGTGAGTTAGTGATGGCAGAATCATTGTGTAACCTCCTCTTCTTGTGTGAAGCTACCTGTGGAGGAATATGTTGTAATGTTAGTTCTGGCTGGTTCACCTTTTGCATTGCTGTGTAATACAGCCCTCCAGGGATAGTCCTGTTAAATAAAATGGATATAACATTAATTGGTAGATGATAGGTACGTCCATATGGACAGAATGAGGCTGCTGTCCACTTGCTACCTTCACTTTTGTTTTGAAGTATAAACTCCAGTGTGCTTGAAGCAGTTGGAAAACTTGTTCAGGGCTCCAGGTGTCAAGGCTGTGCTGCCTTCTTTTATGGGAAGTAGGATTTTTATAAGAATTACGAATGAAAGTACACGTGGTTTATTTCTGCACTTAGTGCTGGRTCTGTGACTTGTTACGCAGTCGAAGAGTAGCTCCAAAGCCCCCTCCAGAGGCTGTTTTCCCATACATAGTATTAAGTGTTCTTTGCCTGGGTATTGCTCTCTCTTCCCGCCCTTCTCACTGTCTCTATGTTAAAAATTGTGTCCAGTCGTGTATCTTCYTTAGCCATCTATTCCCAAGCCTCAYGAGTATTTGATAKGTTTAATCTCTTCTCRTATATTTGATATTTCTTGGCATATTTCCTATTTAAAGTATCTTGTTTTCAAGACAGGAGTCTGCTAAAGATKTACAGGAGTGCTTTCATGTTTCCCTATTGTTCCTTTCCTGGTAATCTGTCTTTCTCTTCTGGCTTTCTGGCTGCTATTGAACACTGAGTTGATAAARTTGGTGGTTTGCTTTCTCTTTCCTGTATGCTAATAGCTTTGCATCTCTCTGCCTATGCAGTTAAATTCCTTTATACTTGTGCATTTCTATGCTTATTTATGGCTGTTGCATCTGATCTACAAAATTATTGCAAAATCTACAAAATCCACTCAGGATTTAATGTTCTTTTGTGGTCAACTTTCCATTAAATTAAACATGGAATAATCTGATACAGATAATAACCTCCTTTACTGTTTTGCTTTCATCATTTTTTGTGCGTTTTTCTCTTTATCCCCTGACAGTATCTGGCTGGCCAATTGTTGCTGGTTGCTGCTACATAYGGCTGCTTGTCACCTTTTATCTCCTTGATGCTAAATAAATATGGCAGGCACTAAGTTTCATGCAGGTTAAGAGCACAGACAACTCAGAAACACTTCAAAGATGCATTCCTCTGTTAGCCAACAGGATGAATCTCCAGTGTAAAAATACAACTTGAGGCACATCAATCCTGAAGGAGGGATCAGCCAGCAAATAACTTCAGGCTGCATTATTCTAATTTTTTTCTCTTTTGGAGCAGGGGCATTGGGTTTTTGTTTGTTTTTTGCTTTCGTTTTTTTTTTTTTTCGTGAGATCTTTTCTGAACTTCTGGAAACCTTTGTTCCTCAGGCACTTTTATTGGATCTCAGGGACGCTGAAAACACTTTTTCTCCTGTTTCTTCCTTGTCCCCAGGAACCCAGCACTTGACTTTCTGTAATGCTTGCTAGTTTGTAGTATAAAGCAGCTAATTAATTGTTTTTGAAAATCACCCCTCCCTTTTGCCAGTTCTGGTCCTCAGTGGCTCTTGAGTCCATTTAACTGCACAAACCACCCACAGCCTTTGGAGAGGTCACACAAGCATTGAATCTGGCACAGGGTGGGTCATTTGAGCAAAGGATRGAGACTAGGACCTTTCTCTGGTAACTTCTAGCAATAATATTAAGTCAGGCTATCCTGTGTAGCCTCAYCTTCAGCTGTGTGAAGCTAATGATGTGACAGGAAATTAGCCTTTGTTGAGGGAAGGGGCCGTGCCCCTTTTGGCAGCATTATGGACTGATGTCAAATTGGAGATTTATAACCAAGGGACAGGTAATCTTCATGCACTGAGTCTTAATCATAAAAGTAACTTATTGAGGACAGCCAGAGCTGGACAGAAGGGACAGCTCTGAATAGATTTGAGATGTTTTTCTTTCTTTTTGTAAAAGGTCAGGAAAGGGCAGTTTTGCATAGGTATACATAGGAGAATTTTTTTCTTTTTCAAGAGAAGAGTTTTCATTTTAAGTCTCAATTCAAAAAAGCAATAGAGAGCCTTCAGTCTCCTTGTGGGACTGAGTTAYACTCAGGATTGTGATGTCTCTTCTAAGATCTTGTGTGCCAAAGTCATACATTGCAATTTCTTGTGCAGTGCTTAGATTCTCTGTGTTTCTGCATCTAACCAGTCCTCACCCTAGTGTTTTTCAGGATTGTAGACATGTCTGTGATTAGACCACTGGCAATTCAGTATTTCTATAGCATGGTGTTCACTGTGCATTCAGTGGAATATACCCCTGTGGTCCCTTTATATTTTTGTATCCAGATAGATCAAGAAAAAGTAAATGCACAGTATGAACTGTTTTACCATTAAGTTATTCAGACACTTTCTTCAAGCAGGCAGATGAATATAGACTGAAATATGTCTGGCTATCCTTCTTTATTTTCTTAACCTGCTATACATTTTTGTTGACAGGTGGAATACTTTGTCCACACAATGAGATAAATTGATAAAAACTGGAATATGAGCTGTATTGATCACTGAATTGGCTCCAAAATGTAGTTTCAGTGCATTTTTTCATTAAAATAATTAATGGCTTTTTTTTTCATTTCTGTGAGTAGTGAATTCTTCAGYCYGTTGATTTTTTCTTTTTTTTTAACRTGTTTTTTTCCCTCTTCTGCCAGAATGGAGTCATGTCTGGATTGATGCAAATGCTGCTTCTGAAGGTTTCTGCTCACATCACAGAACARCTGGGAATGGCTCCAGGAGGAGAATTCAGGGAGGCTTTCAAAGAGGTGCGAACTTGAAATGGCTTTTCTGAGGTCAGATTACTGGCCTTTTCCTTCCAGAGTTGAACTCAATAAAACCATTTTGTTATTGCCTAGAAAAGAGCACTCTAGCCATACCTCTGCTGAAGCCAATTAAGTAGTAAAAATAATTTTCAACTTCAAAGTGTACCTTAAGGTACAAAGATTTGTAGATGTAAGTGGTGTGAAAGCAATTCCAAAAAGGYTTCAAATGATAAGGGGTTTTCCTGCTGATATTTCTGAGGACATTTGTTTTCATTAACAATTTAGTTTCTTTTAAATAATTGTTTTTGAATTCTGAATATTGATCAGGTCCCACTATTGGATAGTGGGATAGGTCCCACTATTGTTGCTGTCAGGATTTCAGGCTGTGAAAATCAGCTTTAAAGGATTCATGAGATCTGACATGTTCCATTCATCTGGAAGGACTGGGAACATGAAATATCTGACTGGCCTGTTAGTCCTGTATGGTGTTTTAACATCACCTTTTGTACTACTTGCAGTTGTGATACCTGCAACTAAATAGTAGCTGTGTGTCACACTACTTTTTTTTTTTTTTCCTAGGAATATGGGATACTAGTTTCTGTGCATGTATCCATCTTTCAGAATGTATCTTGCTATTTTTGTGTAAATTATGTACTAGTAAAGAAACTGAGAGAACATTGGTGATAAAGAATCTGGAATAATTTGGTGTATTTATCCTTAAAAAGAAATCTTCTTCAAGGTTCATTTTCTTGAGCATTCCAGACCAGAATGAAACATTTTAAGAATTTCTCATTGTAAGTGGGAAAAAATAAATTAGCTCTGTCCTATTCTAAAGWGATTGCTGAAAATTTTTTAACAGCTCTGCATAAGAAAGATTTTCCTAGAAATTTTGTACTGTGCTAAAATTTGTCAGTATGAGTTAACACCCAAGTCTCACCTCACATTATCATGTGGTATCTGGTATCAGTTATTTTTTCATAAGCTCTTTCTTTAATATCCTGACAAATCGGAGGTGAAAGCAAAATAATCACAGTTATTTCACTACAGACTTTATTCAGAGCCAGATAGATATTGAGCCCCATTGTCACCTTAAGTAGTAATAATCAGAAGCTTTCTACTTCAATGAAAGTAACCTCAAAGTTGTGGCATTACAAGGTAATGTGTTTAATACCTTCTACATAGTGTAGCTGATTTACTCCTTTATGAAGTAATGTAGTAGTATTTTGTAAATTTTATTTACCGCAAAGCTAAAATAATTTTTTATGTTGAAGTGTGACACTACTTGCTCTTTTTTAAGATACCATATATAACACAGTAAATCATTAATGTTAGTTAATAAGATTGTGCTGTGCTGCAGTATGAAATGCTGACAAGTTATTTGTATCTTCTCTTTCAGGCCAGTAAAGTACCTTTCTGTAAATTCCACCTTGGTGACCGACCCATCCCTGTTACATTTAAGAGAGCAATTGCTGCACTTTCCTTCTGGCAAAAAGTCAAGCTTGCTTGGGGCCTTTGCTTCTTATCTGACCCCATCAGGTATGAATAAGCACCCCATATGTTTTATGTTTGGGGTGGATTATTCAGTTCTTCAAGTTAACCTTAGGATGAGGGTACCCTGCTGATGCAATTAAATTTGAAGTTAGTGAGAAGGATGAATATACAAACTACCCTGCAATAATATGTATTTTTTGAAGTGAAGGCTGTCTTTCTGATCCTGTGTCAGCTCTTTCTTTAATTGTCTTTCAATGCATTAGTTCCAGGTGAAATGTAAGATTAAGTGCTGGAGAATTCCTACTAAACTTATAAAAAACTTCTTTTAATTATTTTTTTATTTTTATCCTGAAAACAAAACCTTTCCCACCACTGTGTGTGGTGTATGGATATTGTAAATAAAAGAGAGTAAAGGCCTCAGTACAATAATTTTTACATCCTTAAGAGTTCCAAAGTCTTGGGCTTTCTGTGCTAATTCACATCAGGATCAGAGCACCTTGAGAGCTAAATTTGCTGTCTGAACAGATYTGTGGAACAAGAGAAAACTTCAAGACTCCACACGTTCATAGACTTCAAATAATTAATAGCTTTATAAACATGCATTGTTATGAAGCCTTTCCTTATGTTACTGTTTCTTAGACAGCCATTCTCCTGCTTTCCCCTGCCCTTCAGAGACATCTCTGATCCAAGTTTGCACACTCTTTCCACAAGTAGGTGTGTGATAACTTACTTGAACTGGCTGAGAACATGTGCACAGTTGCTCTGCTAAAGTCAGTGGCCAACTACCAGACTTGCWGTGGTGGTAGATGTGCCAAAAATGGATTCCCTGTGCACTTGGCCCCTGAATTTCAGGGCTTCTCTCATAGCCTGTGACTGGAACTCTGCAGCTCATGCAGTGACGTTTTCCAGGCTTTTAAAATAAGACCAGGGCTAAATTGTAGAAAAAAACCTGTAGCTGTCTTGAACAAACCTTCTGTTTTGCAGTTTTAACATTTACTTAATTGTAACTTTCTGTAAATACTTGATATTACATTAATCTGTAAAATGAGCTTGACTGTCTTTTAAGAACTATAATGCACGCACCAAGTTTTCTTACTACCTTTCCCTTTCTTACTACTGCTTCTCTAATACCTGCATGAGATTATTTGCAGACTTTTGGGAGGCATTGAAGGGTATATTTCTGTGCATATTCTCCCATTATTTGTCCATCCTAAGAACATTTTGGTTTTCAGTCTCAATGGGAATGTTGTTATAGTATATGCACACTACCTTCCTGCTGCACCTTGGCAATAACATCTCAGTTACTGTCGTACTGTTGATTTTTACACATAACATGTAGATAGATTTTGGGGTTAAGGAGAAGCCTGTGAGATTGACATGACCCTGCCTTGTGTGTCAAGCTGTGATTAGTTAAACAGAGCCCATAGACACCGCCTAACTGAAGAYGTAATTGGATAAGAAGGTTCATGGGCAAAGGCTCTGGGGGGGCAGAGAGCCAATCTGTGTTTAACCCTGGAAAGTTCAGATTATAAAGTGGCACAACTTTTTGAAAATAGAGGATTTCTTTGAACCAGCTAGAAGAGGTCCATGTCCTCTGTCCCTCCATTGTCACAGATAGAGGTTGAAAGCAAAAGATATTTATATTCAGAAAGTTGCTATTAACATGAGATTCTATGGAAAATTGAGTAATAATTCAACATTGTCAATTGTTGATGTTTTTGGGTCTATTGATAGCTGGCATTTCTCTTTTCAGTTGCCCTGCTGACGTTTGTAGTGTCCTTTTCATCTTGGAAACTAAAGGAAGCCTGTTTGACATCATTCTTTAGTAGACAGTGATGCCAAACCAGATAATTTTGTTGATGCAAGCCATGACCCACAGCTGTGGGTGCAAACAGAAGGGTTTACAGCACCTATGAAAAGAATAAAAGCTCGTTACATTTATTCCTGCAGTTTTTATTTTTCATTTTCTGCCCATTTGCTATTCTTCTGTTCTGGGGATTGATTTATAACTGACTTCCCTGCGGAAGACTGCGATTGGCACTAGGAGCCTCCAGATCTCTTTCCATCCCCCCAGACTGTGCCTTATGGTGTGCCTTTTTTGTTCCTTAAGTAGAGTCTCTGTGTTTGGTGATCAGATCTGCTTCCTCAGAATAGCTCTGTGTTGGCTCTTCRAAGCTTATTAATACACACTGGAAGGGGGGGCACCATGGTAGCTGTTTTCTTTGAAGCCCTAGTGGTTTTGCTCAGTTGACTTGTCAGCTTTTAAAGTGGGAAGGGAGGAAATCCAGTTGAACTGGCTAAAGGCAAATGACCTCTTTTCTTTCCCTTTCCTTCACTGTAGAGGCATTGTTAGGTATCAGGTTTTACAGGTTTATGGAGATTATTTTCCTTTTGGAAAGGAAAACTGGGGGAGGAGAACTGTAGACCGTGTTTAGGTGGATAATGTGTATAATGCTCAATTGCTTTTATTCATTGATTTGTCTGTGTTGACCTTTGAAAGCAGAACAGATACTGAGGAAACTTCCTTTTCTTTCAGTAAAGATGATGTGGAGAAATGCAAACAGAAGGATTTACTGGAACAGATGATGGCAGAAATGATTGGAGAATTCCCTGATCTTCATCGAACTATTGTCTCTGAACGAGACATTTACTTGACCTACATGCTGAAGCAAGCGGCAAAACAGATAGAACTACCTCGAGCTTCAGAAAGTAATTGTTTTAAAAAAGAGATTATAATCAGCAATGTGTTCTGTGTGTACTGATGCAAAGTTTGATYCTCAGGAAATCTGGGGTGTTCTGTTCATGAATGCCACATGTCACATAAGACACGATGCTTAAAAATTTGAAAAGGGCTATTACTCTTCTGTTGAAACCACCTAGAGCAGTAGCCTCTAAGTTATGTTTCCTTTCTCATTGTGCTGTTTAAAACTGGAAAGTACTAATTAGCTGAACGACTGTTTCAAAAGGCAGGGATCTGGTATGATGGCACCAGCATGGGACAGTCTGTCTCACTTGCCTCATTATCCCATCAAATTCATTGTTGTCACTAGCTGCTGAGGGACTCATTTCCTGATAAATTGATTCTCTAATTCAGTACTCTTTATAGTTTGTTTTTTTTTAATTATAAATTGGGTTGCTAGCAACTTTAATAATCAGGCAATAATAATCGTATGTGACTCTGCATGTTTCAAGGTAAAGACATAGAGAAAAGTTGTATTTCTCTAATCTTTGGAAGTATTCTGCTGGCATATGTTACCTGCATGCCCTTCCTACAGATAAGCATACTGAGGTATGTTACCTCTTATTAAATATTTTAAGATGGTGATTGTCATCACTTCAGTGCAGAACTTCTGTTCTATTTGCAGTTCTGATTTAGAGCAACCCTAGAATAGACTGAGAAAAGGAAAATTAAAAAAAATGGTAAATATTTGTAATAGTTCTCATGTTTTCAGTACAGTTTTGTTCCATTTTGAGGGGGATGCTCTTCACATTTTYACTTGTTTTCTGGAAAAATCAAGATGGGTATTTAAAGCAAGACAGTGGAACTTGTATTTTTTATTTATATATTATGTAGAATTTCCCTCATAGGAAAGCAGCTAGATTATTATTACTTAGGAAGCTTTTTTGTGAATGGTTTTTATTGTGGCATGGTACTGTATTTTGCACTGGGGAAAACTTGCAGGAACCACATTTTTTGTTTTGTGAAATTTGGATGGTGGATGGGAGGTGAAGGTGAGAGCTGGCACGTGTTGCATTGGTCTGATGGTAGCTGGCTGGCTGCTGCATGTCACTGGCTTGGGTTTGCTGCTGCTGAGGCCACATCTCTAGGACTCAACTTCACAGGGATAGGTGGGGTCTCAAACGTTGTTCTCTGATTGTGAGTCCAAATCTTGTCACTTTGTGTGCCAGCTGCCCCTGTCAAACATGGCAGAGAAAGCTCTCTGTTCAGGAGACAGCAAAGAGCAGGGCTGTTCCTCAAAAGCAGCACAGAAACATGACCTACACAGAGAAGGAAAGAATTTAGCTTGCATCTGCTGAGCCTTTCACCCTGAGGCTGGAGTATGAAATGGCCAGGTCTGTTTATGAAATAAATGACTCCTGAAAATCTAGGAACCATGCTGATTTTTTCAGACTTTAATGAAAGAGGCAGTAGGTGAGATGAGTATGTAACAATACAAAGATTTCAGTATCTGGTAGCAAAAGCCCCTACATCTTGGAAAGATTGATTTTGTAATCTCACGCGTTACCTGTTTTTTTGTAGCTTGAAATTAGTTATTTTATTAGTTTCTTTCTTTGCACCTCTCTTTCTCAGATGAACCTAGAAAATATATCCCAGCTGTTGTAGTTGGTGTTGTTGGCATGGGTCATGTACCTGGAATTGAGAAGAACTGGAATTCTGACTTAAAGATCCAGGAAATAATGAGGTAACAGTCATCCTTTCCTACATGKTGTTGTAACAGCTTCTCTTGCTAAAAACCAGCAGTAACTAGTTTATTTGGAGTTTTTWTTTGGTTGTTTGTCACAGCTTGAAGCAGCATCTCTATTGTCATCCTTGCCATGTCAGCTCACTGACTTGTGCAGTGCTTGCAAATTGTGCTTACAGCAAAGGAAAAGAAAATATCAAAGGGAAGAAGTAAACAGTTGAATATGAAGGGAAGTAGAGATGAGAATAGACCCCTGTCTAGAAAGAAAATTACTGGTCCTCATTTAAGTCTTCTAAAATGAAAATTCAAATGAGAGCTGTAGAAGAGGTGAAAAGAGAACGAGGCTTTCAGTCTAACTTAGGTAAATATAAATCATTGGATTTAAAGCTTTTGTTTTGTCAGGACACTGCTGGCTTTGGCAAGCTTAGTGTCACAATTGCTTGTAGCCTATTTTTAACTGTATATGCAAGTAATCACTTGTTTTAATGTGTATAGCTAACTAATTATGAGCTGGTTGAAGCCATTATTCAAACTACATATTAAAATAAATGTATGTGCTTTGTAAAAGACAGAATCGAAGAACCAAAATGTTCAGATTSTGTGTATCCCATAAAGTCACAAAGGTCAGGACTTCAGAAATACAGGAGAGATTACAATACAGCCTGGTAGTATTGCTCTGTGGTGCTTTAGGATAATAGTCTTTCAAATATTGACACTTTCCCTATCACATCCATTTATTGTGTTTATATAACCACCTCACCAATCTCTTCAGAAGCTGTGAAAACCAGAGAAGACTGACACCCACATAAATGGTATATTTAGACATCTAAAATATGGTTTAGAGAGACTTTCGATGTCTGCATTCAAGAATGCACAGTACAGAAGCTCTGCCTAGCCATTTATAAATACCTTTCAAGGCTAAGCCTCACCTGGAGTCACCAGCTAGATGTCCATATTCCTCTGCACCCTCACAAATAACCTGTGCAATGAGATTGTCCAAATCCATGTAGTTCTGTGGTTGRTGTTGGTTGCATCACTGACAACACAGAACTGAAGAGCCCAAAAACCAATTGCATGTCTTCAAGTTTGCATAGAAGGTCTTTTTTTCATCAAAGTCGGCTCTGACTTGATTGTCCTCATCACGCCAGTGTCATAACTGAACAGAATTGTTACTAGTATCTTTCACAAGACATTGATATTGCATTAACTTGATTTTCTGAAATAATATGAAGCAAATTATATTCATAAGAATGCTCTATTTGTGACTTACACTTTAAACTTTTTTGCCCCTCATGCTGTTGCATTGTAGTTGCTGAGCAGAGTTAGGGCTTTTGTGTGTTTAGTGTTCATCACTTCTCTAAACAGAAAAGCTTTTATGACTTCTACAGGTATTTAGTTGAGTTTTAAAAGTTGCAACATGAACTGGATAAAAACATACATATGTTTCTAATTTTTTTTCAAATTTTTAAGCTCATGCATTGAACCCAGCTCCAAGCAGACCTTATTGTCTGTCACAGAATYACAGAATATTTTGAGTTGGAAGGGATGTACAAGGGTCGAGTCCAACTCAAAAGTGAATGCTCCATATGGGGATTGAACCCAGGACCTTGGCACTATTAACACCATGCTCTGACCATCTGTTACTAATTGATTTTTTTAAGTTGTAGTGAGGGGTTGGAATTGAGRAAGAGCAGGTAGAGAAGCATGTAAGAATGTGTAAAGAGATGCCTTTACATCATCCTTGCTTCAATATATATGCTTTTTAAAAATTTGTCTATATATTGCTGTAATGTGCAGAAATCTTACCAGTGGTAACTTTTCCCKAGTTTGAGCACATGGATCTAAATTCAGTCTAGTTGTATTCTAATCTGGTTTGAGAGCACTCAGTGTTTTTGCACTATTGCAGTGATTACTTCTGAATACATTAGAAACTTTTTCTGGATATAAATWAATGGTAACTTGAGGCTTCTTTGAAACAATATATGGAAACCTCTGTAAGAGGATTATGAGTTGCATGGGAGAGATGTTGCAGGTGCAGGGCCAGCTGAGCTGCTGCAGAGCCTTTTGGTGAGGGTGCAGGGCTGCACATGCATGTGGCTGTGCTCTCAGAGTCAGCTTTATTGGGAAGGTAATATTAACTGTTTGCTTCATCTGCCAGCAGAGAGACTGCTTGAAGGTGGGGTGCTTGTTGTCCTCTGCCSTCCTGATTCCAGGTGCTCTTTGCAGAGACTTCCCAGTGACTCTGTGAAAATCTTAGCACTCACTTCTAGTATTCTTGAAGAAGTCTGGATATTGACTTAGTTGTGTTGGTAAGGGGTTGGACAAGTCAGGGTTCCTAGCCATTAAGAGTGGCATCATACATAAGTAGAAAAGCCTTTGTTAGTATTAGTTAATTTTTATTATTGTTATTTAATTTGTATGTATCCCTTAAAATCAAAGAATACATTGTTCAATTATGATGCACCTGAGAATTTCTTGCACTGTAGGGAGAAAGGGGAGAAAAGATCCTTTTTTTTTTTTTTTTTAATTAGAAAATTCCTGCTGTTTCCAGCTATGCAAATATTGTTTTTTATCTTTTCTTTCAGTGTGCCTCCTCCATCAACGTCAAGTAAGATTTTCAAATTTGTCTTAAAAGCAACAGTTTTTGGACTGCTGGGATATGGCTGCTACCGAATAGGTCACAGGACAGTTCAGTTTGTTCTCTCAATGCCAGCAACACAGAGCTATATTCAGAGGCTGACAGAGGTGCCTCAGCATTGAACATCAAGTGGAGGCTCTGTGTGAAGAAGGTGGCTGAAAAAAGGATGGTGGAGGCAACCTGTGAACTGGCCTGAAAGAAGATGAGGATTCGAGTCAGAGTTGGTTGATGCTGAGCAACACTCAATCACTATATAATAAAAGATTTGATACTGAAGTTACACCAGCTATGATCTAATTAAGTTTTGATTCTTGGTGGGTGTGTTGCATGAAAACAGATGATTCCAGATTGAGGTAAAAGAAATGTGTATGCAAATATATATATATATTATATATGCATACTATATATATGTATACTGTATATATGCATTATATAATATATATATCTATTGCTGATAATCTAGTACAGGCAGTTTAAAGAGTGTGTGGCTCCTTTTCCAGAGGAAAAAACAACACAAAGTTACCTAATCAGCTGCATCTCCTCTGAAGTTCAGGGACACCTGTCTTGAGAGATTCTTACTTTTTTCTTAGGTATAATAATACCAAGTGGTTGATTCTGGTGCCAGACACTTTTTCATATAATTTAAAAGGACATCTTCTCTATGTGTATTTTATACCTGAAACRTTTAGGCTTTTTTTAAACTTAAGAGCTTTCCAGAAATTTCAGAATTGTACAGGCTGTCACACGTACATGGCTCAAATTTTTACAAGCCTTACTGAAGAACAGGAATGTTGCCTTTAGGTTGCATCCCTTGTTACCATCACCAGTTGAATTGTCTTTCTCCTGCATAGAGAAGGTATAGCCACCCCATCAGAATGCAATGTGGTTTGTGTCAGATGTTTACAGGACACTCTGTTCCTTTAGATTAGCTTATTTAAACTGTATTATTTAGCCAAATCCTGCTGGTTTCAGTATTGTAAATTTAAGAAACTAGAACTACTGTATAATTTACTTTTATTTCTCAGACCTTTCATATTTGGCATAAAAAGCCTGGAATTAACCTGCCCCTTGTTTTTGCTATGAAAATATTTTATTTATCAATGTAATTTCTTGGTGGATGAATATTTTAATCTATTTAATAGAAAAGCAGTGTTCAATTTAGTTTTTCAGATTAGCTGTAGCATTTTATTTCGATTACCTGCTATTTATACATAGAATTATGGGTACTAAGACTGCTGTTATTTTGTTTCTTAATTATCCAGAACAGTCATCCATCATAAAATTTTTCTTTTAATTCTAGGTTTATATTTCATTGGCATTTTTATTACCTTCCCTCCTTCCCTTTATACAGGATTGTCAGTGACTGTAAAGTGCCCTTGGCAATCAGCTAGTCCTAGTTCAGCAACACAGATAACATTGTCATATCAAAGTTAACCTGATGTATTTGAGTGGAAGAGTCCCATTTGCTCCACAGGCTCATATACAGTTGCTCATCACTTAAAGTGAGTTTTTTATCTGTATTAATTTCTTTTGGGAACGAAAGATGGGAACCAGTGTGTGAGGCAGGAGGAGGAAAAGGTGATGTTGTGCTTTGCGTTTCTTTGTGTTTTTTCAGTTGGCTCAATAAAATCCAAAAACCACTTTGAATGGGGTATATTTCCAAAGCCCTGTGTTGGAAATGGTCCTGTACAGTCTTTTGTTTGCTGAAAAGTATGCACATTTATCTTCTGTACAGTGTTGTCTTGTTCAAGCTTTTAAAATTAAGTTAAGGGTCTGATGCTCCTCCCTGTGATGCATTGACTTTGCTGGGAGCTGGTCTGTCCRTGCAATCTGATGCTTTTCTGCTTTGCACTTTGAAAGTTTTATGAGTTCCAGTGCAGCAAATTATTAAAGTGCATGTTTATCTTTAAACTTACTGAATCTAACCCGATCCTGCAGAGCTCTTAAGATAATGCGAGGTGGTTTTCTGGGTCTGGGCCTTACAGGTGTCCAGGGAATAAACTGTAGCAAATGAAAATGACAGCAATTCATGCTTCTAGGACACGCAGTGCAAGTGATAATACAGAGGACAGTGGGGCAGGTCCTTTTATTTTCTATTCATCAGTGCTTAAGAAACCACCAGCTGTCTCTAGCAAGAGGAAAAGCAGCATTTGTAAACAATTTGTAGAAGAGTGACTGCCTGAATTTTGATTCCTGTTTTTTAAAAACATTTAATGTATTGTTTACAATTAAGCAGTCCTATTTGAATAATTCTGTTACATTTTATGTACATTTTTAGAAGATGAAGGCAAAAGCTTAAGCTCACTCTTCTGGCTTTACTGACATACCAAAATGTTGTTCTGTTTGCTGTTTTCTCGAGAATATTTARCTGGTAGAATTAAATATACAGATATTTTGCTTTAAGTTATCTTCAGATTTTTAAAGTATCTGCAGATATTTTAAAAGCTCTGTAGATCTTTGATATCTGTGCTCAGGTAGTTTTACACAAAGTAAAACAAATCTAAGGTAAATTTTAGATAGGAGCCTTAATCTTGGGTGGGACTAATGCTAAATGATTGTCATGGAGCATTCTTGCAGACTTTAAAGTTTTATGTTTTTTAGCCAAAAGTGACTACTGTCTAAGGTGTCCATTCGTTACTCAGTTATTCTCTCCAGTCAGTACCTTAAGTCTATTGTTTCAATCTTTTTTTGTTTTTTCAAAAGCATATCAGCAGATTCTTCAGCAAACCTATYTGTGGATGGAGAATTTGCAATTTATCTTCCCTCTGTTGCAAATTGGCAGATCATATGCATGCACTGTTTATTCAGTGGCCCCTGGAAAGTGATGAATTTGCTGAACTAATAATTCTATGAATCCATACACAAATTCTTGATGTTGTATATTCAATGTGTTGTACTGTTTATGTAACATAATCAGCGTTCTAGGTCCATTCTTTTCTGTTTTAGTCAGTCCTTCCAGTGTTAACACCATCCTGTAAAATTTATATGTTGAATTGTCCCAGCCCCGCCTCAACCTTATGAAGCCATATTGTATTTTTTTGGTGACATGTACATCTGTTTTATGCATTTGTACATGTGATGTAAATTTGAAGTATTTTTAACAATGTGTGCCTTTACTCTAAAGTGATTTAAAGTAAACAGCAGTATGTCCTATTATATAAAAAATAAAATATTTTAACCACCATTTCTGTTGAAGGCATTTATTTTCCTAATTAACCAGTATTTTTATTGAGAGCAAACACTGATTAGTTCAATCTAGTACAGGATAATTCTACCATCTAACATTTTCCYGGAGATCATTAGTTGAATTAAACACCTCCTGCTAAGGGGCATCTGAATGTAATGCTGAAGCAGGGAAACTAGTTTCTGTACCTACCACATGTAATCGGTTAAGAGAAAAAGGATGAGTTTGTGTCCTACTGAACACACAGGGAGAGTGAATACTTAAATTCAAACTCCAGAGTTGGGTGTGGTGAGTTGATTTTCTTGTTGCTCTTCTCTTTAATGCCTCCAGTGCTCAGTCATGCAAGGAGCTGACAGCCTTAGTCTCAGACCAGCAAAGTGCTCCAACATTGGTTTAACATCAGGCACAGTTGTTTGTGCCTAAAGCGCTGTCCTCTGTGTGGGATTTAAAGACCCTTTAAGTGCAAAAGATATTGAATGAGTGGCAAAGAGTTCAATCTCTCAAATTGACACAGGTAAATCAATATAACCATTACTTTAAAAAAAAAGGTATTAATACAAAGACCCTGTATTCATACTTGAAGTAACTATATGATAAGCTGTATTCCATACAGATAATGTACCATCTGTTTGTACTCTGTGTCATTCAGTGGTCCATCTTTTTTGATTGTGTAATGAGYGAATGCAGCTCCTTTTTCCTTGATCAGGCTAAGTTCCCTCCAGTTGCAATTGGAGCTGTATCTGCAAAGAATTGCTGGGTAAAAATTCCATTTAGGTGGAAGAAAAGACTTCAGATACTGTAGTCTAGTACTGTTCCTGGGAGGGGCAGAGGACGCTGCACAGCAGCTCGACTCGGAGCAGTGCTCCCAGCAGCTGCTTGCTTTGGGAGTGTATCATTCACCAGCGTTACATTGCACACTGCTGGCCCACGTCACATTTGAGGTGACTTTTTCTATACCAAATACTGAACAAAATTTAAAWTTGACTTTTTTAGATGTGTTAAAATGTCTAGGATTTCCACTGGAAGCTGTATTTCTATGTGTATTGTAAAACGTAAAAAACTGAGAAATACATCGTTACCTCAAAGTGCCAGGCAATGGGAACTACACATGGAAAAGAAACAGCACAGTATCACTTGTGTAACTAAGATACTCATGTATGTATTTCCCTGTTTCTTTTTAAAGCTGAAATAAACTTTTAGACTTGAGTGTTTTAGGACTGTCATTTTTGTAAGATGGGAGGTTGTAAGATGGGGGCTTTTAAGTATTTGCAGGAGAAGGGTCGCTCTTCTGGTTCTGACTGATGGGCAGACTTGAGCGGGGTTCTGAGCCCCTGCTGTGGAAATGCACACGGAAGACATCAAGCACAGGACAAAAGTAGCTCCTAAGACACACAGCTGGAATCAGTCTACTGCCTGTTCAGGTGAAAAAATGCACCAGCTGGGGATATCCCCACACCAGCAGGTCCACACATAYCATGTGTATGTGAAGAGACCAGGAATAGCGGCAGTCCTGTGCAGCAGYTCCCAGCTGAGGAAGCTGTCAGGACGTTGGCTCAGTATCCCCTCCCTTGTTGCTTGCCTTGTGCTGCAGAATGGAGTTTTCTATATTCCAGGGAGGCAACAGGAGCAAAGATGGGGCTASCCCTACCCTCATTCCTAGTAAAGAAAAGGCTGGGAGCTGAGGTTTGTGTACTCTTTTCTGTCACAAGACCTTGTCTTTTGGGTCCTGACAGCTGACCTGGCTCTGGCTTCTCCTTAGTAGCTCCCTGCTGGGGGCAGCTGTGCCGCAAAGTGAGAAAACGTTTTCTTGTTGGWTGTTTTGTCTATCGGTTTGTCTACGGGGAGAAGCTCTAGTGGTGTTTGGGGAAGGGGGAAAGATGCACACAGCCACTTTCATACTTGTGTTAACCAAGATACTTGGTACTTGTGTGKCATGACTGATGCATGAGTGAAAGTGGGAAGAGTGAAGTCTGAAGGATCAGACTTCAATTAAAAACAAAAAAAACACCCACTTTTTCCAGTTTCAGTAGGTTGTGTCTCCTCCCAGCTAAGTGACATTCTTTCAGTGGTAAGATGTCCCTGATTCTGGCTACAGAGATGATTTACAAATTGGACAAAGTAATGAAGAGTGATATTTGATTAGAGTGGGGTGGTTATTAATGTGATGCATCTCTGCCGCTACTAAACTGCACATCTGCTTTCTCCATGGCCAGCTGCAGTGTTCTGTGCCTAGAGCTGTGTGTGCGGAGGCTTGGCAAGATTGCTCGGGGCTTTAAGTTCATACAAGTGTGACAGAGTTCTGGGTGTGCACCACCTGTCACTGGGCAGCTTCTCCCTGCTGCCATCCCCATGTTGTCTCTGACTTTATGGTTACACCCAAGCTCTTCAGAGCTGAGACTCACTGAGTTTAGCTGGAAAGTACAAATACTAGTAATRACTTAGCGCCATCTACTGTTTGCAGATGGTTTACCTACTGTGTCCGGGTTTAAACACAGGCCTCCTCTGCATCCTTCAGAGAAGATAAGGGTGCATCTTGGAGAGGTTTGGTCTTGATTCGCCAATGTGGTACCTGCTATTATTTGACATAACACAAAATAGGAGCATTCTGAATAAGTACTGACTTGCAGTATACATTCGTTTATCTTTTTTCCTCCTGTGGGTGCAGCACGCCCAAGSCGTGGGGGCGGCTCCCGCCGGCCGCGCCTGTCCATGCTTAGGGGCGGGCCGAGCCTCCCCGCCCTGGGGCCAACTTTCACCCGCCCGCTCCCCCGCCGGGCCCGGCAGCGCTCCCGGCTCGCCGCTGGCCGGGCAGGGTGTTCCCATGGGCGGGACTCTGGACGGCACCGCCCCCGGCCCGCCCTCCCGGCCCGGGCGCATGGACGCGGTGCTGCGCGGCGCCCGCCGCTTCCCCTCGGGGCTGTGGGRGATTGTGTCGGGCCCGGCGCGGCGCGGCTCCGCGGCTGCGGCCATGCAGCGGCCCGAGGGCGGCGGGGGCTGGCTGGGCGCGCTGCGCTTCGACAACCTGGCGCTGCGCTCGCTGCCCGTGGACGCCTCGGAGGAGGGCGGCCCGCGGACCGTGCCCGGCGCCTGCTTCGCTCGGGTGCGGCCCACCCCGCTGCAGAACCCGCGGCTCGTGGCCATGTCGCTGCCGGCGCTGGCGCTGCTGGGGCTGGAGGCGCCCGCGGCCGACCCGGAGGCGGCGGAGGCAGAGGCGGCGCTGTTCTTCAGCGGCAACCGGGTCCCGGCGGGCGCGGAGCCCGCGGCTCACTGCTACTGCGGCCACCAGTTCGGCAGCTTCGCGGGCCAGCTGGGCGACGGCGCCGCCATGTACCTGGGCGAGGTGCTGGGCCCGCGGGGCGAGCGCTGGGAGATCCAGCTCAAGGGCGCCGGCATCACCCCCTTTTCCCGGTAAGGCGCGGGCGGGACGGTGCCGGAGCAGCCGGCGAGGCGCGGTTGTGGGRGAGCCCGGTGCGGGGAGGACGGGCTGGGCTTGCCGGCCCCACATCGCATTAGCGAGAGGCTGGTGCCCCGCTGAGGATCATTCCCCGGGGCAAAGGTCGTCTCTTATGCCCTCGTGGTTGTTTGTTTTTTGTTTAACTTTTGCAGCAGGGARTGTAATGTTTGAATGTTAGACTAGGAGGTGGCAAAATTCTCTGCCGGAAAACAAGACTGTAACTGCGTCTCCTTCAGGTGGCGTCCTGGGTATCCTCCTGTGCGGGCATCCCGTTTGGGAGGATGCAGACCGTAATGACAGTGGCGAGAGCACTGTAATTGCTGCCCTATGGSCCACACAGATGGTGTTTAAATGTGGGTGTTCGATTGTGCTGCTGGTCCTTCTCCCCACTCTTCCCAGCTGTGGGAAGGAATAGTGGGAAAGTCCCCCAAAATGGCATACTGACCAAGTACCTACAAGGGATGCATATCTTCGTTAGTAACATTAGCCTTTAAATACTTCAAATGTTTCAGGTAATTTTTCCCASTTGCATTTCCCATATTTTCTGTCCCAGCTGTACACACACTCGGTAGCAYCTTAGTTTCATATATGCGGTCCTCTGAATGCTTTCAGGTCTCTGAGGGTTAATCACAGTGAAAACCCCAGATACGGTGGTAGCTTTGTACATCTGCCCAGGGCAGCTCTCGTGCTTGTGTGTGGCTTTGGAAGTGCAGGAAGTGTGGGCTGAGAACCACCTCGTGTCTGTTCCTTTTGCTTAATATCTATTAAATAACCTAGTTTGTGATCTGCTGTCAGTTCTGTTCAGTTGGGTTTTTTTTTTTTAATGCAACCATTATGTGTGCCTATACCTAACACCCCATTACTAGATCACTTTCCAGGAAAGAGTCAGAATAATATTTTTCATTATATTTCATTTAATTAAGAGTAAACCATTGACTTGATATACAGTAAAATAGTTATAGTTGTCCAAATTTTAAAATTTTTTTGAAAGACTGTTGCATCAATACAACCAAGAGAATTAATGATTAGAAGTGGTATGTGTACGTGGAAGTTTTATTCTGTTGTGTGTGGTCTTCATTGCARGTTGTGTCCATCCAGTTGAACTTTTAACAAAAGTTTGAAGATCCAGCTTTTGTTTTCAGAGCTGCCACTGCTTTTTTGTGTGACCATGGACAGAGTATTGTAGGTTAAGCTACTTCAAGGCTTTTATTTCTCTACTGCTACAGAGGAGACAGAATTTCCTGCCTTAGTAGCCTTAAMACCATCCATGTTTTCTTGCTGCAGACAAGCTGATGGTCGGAAAGTGCTGCGGTCGAGCATCCGGGAGTTCCTGTGCAGCGAGGCCATGTTCCACCTGGGAATACCAACAACACGGGCTGGGACGTGTGTGACGTCCGACTCCAAAGTCGTCCGTGACATATTTTATGATGGGAATCCAAAAAATGAAAGGTGTACAGTTGTTCTGAGGATCGCCTCTACATTTATAAGGTAGAAGCCTATTTTTGGTTTTGGTTTTGGTTTTTTTCTTCTAAAACTAAACAGTCTTAAAATACCATTTAAGGTGTGTTTCTCTAACATCACTGTGTATGTGTTTCTTGCATTGGAGGCTTGGTAATTCATTTACTGGGCTGTAGGAAGCTGCATTTCTTGCCCAGCAGATGAGGTGAGCAGCTGTCTTTGCACAGAGACAGATAAACATTAGGGATGTTAGCCCGGTAGAAAGAAGAAGTAAGTTCAGCAGACTTAGGAAGAAATTTTTCATGTTTATTCCTGTATAGAATATATTGGTTTTTTTTTTTTTTTATAGTAGTAATGGATTGTAGCTCTATCCTTAATTCCAGTTCTAATATAGTACTGTCAAAGTTTGGGTGTACTTTCCATGCCTGAGAAGTATAGGATGTTTCTGCTCCAGCAGAAGATTYAGGTATTTCAGGAAGTTGAATTGCTTCCTCTAAGGTTACAGAATATTAGAGGAAAGTGAGGTATAAGGAATATGCACTTTCATATCTATGTGTATATTTGTGTRCATTCCTCTTGTGTGTTTACACATGTAGAAAAATTCATCTGGTATGCTTGATGTACAGTATTTAAAGTAAGTCCAATTTCTACATATTTACTCAGGATATGAACTTTTCTGTAGAAGGAGTTGTAAGAATTCCAGTACTGACTGGGTCTGTTAGCACTGAGGTGCTCCAGATTCAGTGTGGGAATCTTGCAGGTCTTTTCTCTCAGTCACCTGAAGGATTGRTCTTGTGATGTGCTGTTATTGCATTTACTTTTATTACATGCAATATCAAATTATGTTGATAGTACCAGATAGTTCTAAAACGTTTTTATTTTGAAACAGATTTGGCTCTTTTGAAATTTTTAAACCTCCTGATGAATACACTGGACGCAAGGGTCCCAGCGTTAACCGAAAYGACATTCGAATACAGATGCTTGATTATGTGATCAGCACTTTCTACCCAGAAATCCAGGAGGCTTATTCAGATAACAGTGTTCAGAGGAATGCTGCTTTCTTCAAAGAGGTAAGAAAGATGAGATTCTCTTCAGAAATCCATACCAGTCATCTTTAGGAAYTTCATCTRCAAGCACAGATGAYTGGAGTCAGTTAATGCTTTGTATCRTTTCAATTGACTGAACTCTTCTTTTCTTTGAAGAAAGCACTCTTAGTAGAACTGCTTATTGTTGAAAGCAGTATTATTGATCTAGCCAGTGAAAAGAGAGTAGAACCTTCCTA